ATCTGCCTGCCTCTGCCTCCCGAGTGCTGGGAATAAAGGCATGTGCCACCACAGCGGCTTTATTTTTTGTTTTTATTTTATGTGTATGTGTTCTGCCTGCATGTAGATAAGTGTCACGCAATGCCCTCGGAGGACAGAAGAGGCTGTCGGATCCCCTGGAACTGGAGTTACCGACAGTTGTTGGCTGCCATGTGGGTGCTGGGATTCGAACCCAGGTCTTCTGTCGGTGTTCTTAACCTCTGAGCCATCTCTCCAGCTCCCTCTGCCAAAACCTTTTAAGCCTGGAGGTCAACCTCTCCACTCAAGGCCCGCCCCACGGGCCACACCTGCTCATTGGGGACCCCGTCACCATCCGCATCCGAGTCGCAAGCATCTCCAATGCCATCGCGGTCCACGTCTTCCTGCCCTGAATTGGGCACAGTCATGCAGTTGTCCTGCAGGGTGGGCACGATGGGCAAGGTGGGCGTGAGGCTCGTGGTCGTATAACCGCGCCCACACTCCCCCCGGGCACGCCCCTCAGCCCACGCTCACCTTGCGGCACTGCCGCTCTGAGCAGCGTAGTTTCTCGTCTGGGAAACCATCCAGGTCCGTGTCGCGGCCGCAAATGAGACCGTTGCCAGCCCAGCCGACGGCGCACTGCAGAGAGGAGTAGTGGAGATTCCCACGTGCGCCTGAGTTTCATGGCCCCTCATCCACGCCCTGCACGCCCTCGCTCACCAAGCACGACCGCGAGCCATCGCGCTCCAGGACGCAATCCGCCTTCTCGTGGCACGGGCTGGGTGAGCCGTCGGGGCAGAAGCGCTGCCCGCGTCGCTGGCAGCCAGACGTTTGGTCGCCCACGAAGCCGGGCTGGCAGGGACCACACTGAAAGGAGCCCTGTACGCAGGCGCGAGCGATCGGAGCGTGGTACCCAGCCCTCGCTTGGCTCGCGCCATCCCCACCCATCCCTGCCAGCCTTCCTTACCCGAGTGTTGATGCACACAGAGTTAGGGACGCAATTATGCTGCCCGGTCTCACACTCGTTAATATCCGTGCAAACCTGGGGGACGGGCACCCAGAGGTCGCCGACAGAAGCAGACACCCCACTTTCCCCCTGCCCACCCCTCTCTACTCCCCCTCCATCCCGACTGCAGGAACTCCCTCCCTGAAATCAGGATGTCGAATGAGTTTTCTGGACAAAATGCCTCTAGTTCCCTTCTGCTGTAAATGTGGGGTCCCTCCGGCGCCCCTCACCTGTTTGTTGGCTTTGGCGAAGGCCAGCCCCACGCCTTCATGAGAGGGGCCGCTGTACCCAGGCGGACAGGCCTCGCAGCGGAAACCAGGACTGGTGTTGATACAACGCACACGCGGGAAACAGGGGTGAGCATTGCACTGTGAGGAGGAGCCGCGAAGAGTCAGGCGACCCTGACTGAGATGGGCGGTGAGAGCCGCACCTTGGGGATCTCCGGATTTAGAGAGGTTTGGGGGTTTTGTTTTTGCTTGAACAGGTTCTCACTATGTATCCCTAGCTGGACTGGAACTCTATGTAGACCAAGCTGACCTCGGACTCAGAGATCGCCTGCCTATGCCTCGCAAGGATTTAGAGTTTAAGGAGGATTTAGAGAGTTTAAGGGCCATCCACCAGCTCTTGGAGCGGGTGCCACGAGGGATAGAGGTCCCAAAGGTCACAGGCGACTTTGCCTTGATGGCGATGGCTTTGTGACCAGGCTGGAAGAGAGGCATGCCGCGAGGGGCCTGTCTCTTCAGGGGTGAGGAAATAAATTTGGAGGGCAGGCATCCCCAGCCAAGGGAGGGAGTGGGCGCTGGGGCGTGCGGGCCCGGCGGCGATCGGGTGGTCGGGGAGGGCGACCCCCCGAAGTAGAAGGGTGGTCTGGTTGGGCGAGCCCCAGTGCTGAGGACTCTGGTTGGGGAGGACCACCTCCAGCGTCTATGGGGTCGTCGGGGTGAACATCAGTAGCCACGAAAGGGACGGTGAGGGCAGGCGTCTGGGGTGGGGCTAAGAGTGGTCTGGGTGGGCGACCCTGGGTGGAGGTGAGGTCGTCTGCGTTTGCACCCCGGGCTGTGAAGGGCGGGTCCGAGAGGGCACCGTCAGAGGGGGCGGGGGGCGGGGTGGTAGGAGGTTGTTGTGGGGACTGCTGGGGGAGCGTCGGGATGGCGGGGGTGTGGGGAGCCGACGCACCTCATTAACGTCGGTGCAGTGAGACCCGTTGCCGGTATAGCCCGGCGGGCAGGGGCCGCAGCGCGCGCCGCCCGCCGTCTCGGTGCAGACCACGCCGGGGAAGCAGAAGCCGGGTTCGCAGCTGGGTAGCGGCCGCAAGCTCAAGCCTCGGGTGCGCGCCGGCTGCATCCCTGGAAGAGTAGGAGCGGGTCAGGACCAAGTCCAAGGGAGGAGTACGTTAAGATCACGCCCCTCTAGGGGAGGAGCCAGTCAGGCCACACCCCGGGGCGGGGCATGCTCGCGCAGGCGCCTTGCCATCCGGCGCTCTGTACTGGCTCCGAGTCTCCGCGTAGCTCCAGCCACCTCCATCCTTCCCTCTCCATCGCTCCCCCTCCTGCCCTCTCCATCCCTCTCCTGCATCCTTCCCTCTCCATCGCTCCCTCTCCTGCATCCTCCCCTCTCCATCCCTCTCCTGCATCCTTCCCTCTCCATCGCTCCCTCTCCTGCATCCTCCCCTCTCCATCCCTCTCCTGCATCCTTCCCTCTCCATCGCTCCCTCTCCTGCATCCTCCCCTCTCCATCCCTCTCCTGCATCCTTCCCTCTCCATCGCTCTCCTTCTCCACGGCCTCCTTCCTTGGCTCTCTTCTTCCCTTCGGTCTCCCAGTTCCTCCTCCTTTCTTGTCTTCTTCCCAGTCGAGCTCACCACATGCATCACACTCCATCACCGTATTCTTCAGGAACGTGATCTCCTTGACCTGCGGGGCGCGGAGGTCAGCGGTGTACCTTCTTGGGGTCTCCTCCTCTCTCTCAGGAGTCCTGGGAACCCAGGCGCTCTGGACCTCCTGTCCATCTCTTTCTACACGAGCCCCGCCTCCAGACCCCAAGATCAAGGGCTGTGCCAGCTGTCCCTCCTCTGTCCCCGGCGCTCTCTGTCCCCCCTTCTGTCTCCCCTACCCTGCTTGGGGCTCGGGCTCCGTCTCTCGCGCTGTCCCTGCTCTGCCCCTCACCTGCTGCCGTAAAAGTTCCCTCACGTCCTGCAGCGCTGCGTTGGTCTCCCGAAGTTCTTGAAGCATCTGTGGAGCCAGATCTCCTCCTGCGTCCACAAGGGACATTGGTGGCCAACGGTGTCTGGGGAACCTCCTCACCCCACGACACTATATCCCTCTGGCTACCGCCCGGGAACCCCCATATCCACTCCCCGGGTTGAGCACGAAGGGAGAGCTGGAGGAAACTCGGGGACCTCCTGTCGCCGGGGGATCCCTGGGGTTCCTTGCATCTTACCCAGTGGGACCTGGCCCTGGCTGGATACACGCAGGGCAGCCAGGGAGAGCAGGAGGGCACAGGCGGCGGGGGCCATGGCTGCAGCTGTCCAGTCCACCGCCCACGAGGTCTACGGCTTATTTATCCTCGGAGGCTTGGCGGGCCCTGGGTACGGCCCACCCAGTCCTGCCCAGCTCCCGCCGCAAGGTAAACAGAGGCGCTACTCTGCGTTCAAGGCCACGCCCGAACTGCCGGGGGATGATTGGGACAGGGTGGGTAAACTGAGCCCTGAGAGGGGAGTCCGTAGAGAAACAGGGATGCCTGGTAGGGAGTGAAGTGGGGCCACCCACCTCTTCCCCCCTTTGCCCCCCACTCACACTCCTACAGTGTGCAGGACAATCTCTTCGTCCTCCCCTCAGGTGACATTTGGGGAACCGAGGTCAGAACTCACTGACTTTCTTCCCCTGGCTTCACAACTCGCAAGAAGTACGAACACAAGGCACTGGGTTCCACCTCTAGCACCTACAAACGAACAAAAACCGATCCCCTTAAATTTTATCTGGGCCTAAATTTCTTACCTTGCACAGTTGAGGTAATAATGTCCTCGGTAATAATTAATACTGTGTGTGAGGGAAGGGGACCCTCAGCTTCCCTGAGGTCCTGTTCTTGCTGGGCCAAACCTTCGAAGCTGGCTCCAGCTCTGGGGAAACTGCCTGTAATAAAAATAAAAACCAGGGAAAAGCTCCCCTTCTGGGCCAGCCACACTATATAAAACACCTCAGTTTCCAGGAGCTTTTAACCCTCTCCACCCTAGCCTTCCAGAACTCACAACCTGCAATCTGCAGACAAAGAAACTGGGGGGGGGGGGCACGGAAGCAACTGCATGCACTGCAAATGGGCCCCAGCACTGCTGAGGACACAGGAGAGAAACAGCCCCCCCCTTCTGTCTCAAGGGAGTGCACATGTGTGAGGAAGAGGGTACACCATCACCCAGAGGGATCAGGCCTGTGATGGGAGCTGCCCAGGTCCTGAAGGGAAAATGAGCCTAGGTTACTGGGTACATGGATCAGGGTGTTCAAATTCTTGGGGCTTATCGAGAATTGGGGGAGAGGCTAGGTAAGGCAGTGACAATGTCTTGAGGTTCAAGCTGACTTTAGAGGGCAATGGGGAGCCACAGAGGGTGAGGGAGGAAGGGCAGCCATGTAGGGGGAGGTGGAGGTGTGCTCCAAGGAGCCCCTCCCTGCCCTGACTGAGCTCACCTCCTGTTTTCTTTGGCTCCCAGAACACCTAGGGGCCACTCCCTGCGGCCAGCACTGGAAAATCTCAAGGAAACCACAACTCCCTGCTGGACCTGAGGGCCCACATGTGCCTCTTACAGCTAAGACAGGAACACATGTCTCTGGAGCTCAAACACACGTGGCCTCAGCCATGGCTGTGTGTCCCATTCTCCCCCCCACCCCCCAACCCCACCTCCGTGGGGGAGATGCAGGGAAGGAAGGCAGGACTAGGGGAACCACAAAAGCTGAGGTACAGCACAGAGCCCCAGAGGGCAGCTTGGGACTCACTCCTCCCTGCTGGATCTTGCCCTTCCAGGCAGCTGGCTAACCCGAAGCACCCTTGCCTTCACGGTGCAGGTGTGTCCCTGGATTTTTCTGCCTGCTGTGGCCCTGCCTGTCCACAAGCGCAGGTGATTCCCCCTCCTCCTTGGAAGGGTTGTCCAAGCATGCTCTGCTATCCGCCCCTTCCTCAGCCCTAAAACAGGGTGATCAATGTTGATACAGGAATTCTTAGTGGACTGGCCCAGTATAAGGCTGGCTGTATAATATGGAATTTATACAGTGGTATGTTTCAAGTGGTTTTTGCTTTTTGTGCTTTGTTAACTAATTTGTTTGGTTTTCGTATTTTTTTTATGTGTACGGGTGTATTGCCTGCATGTATGTGAGTGCACCCGTGTTGTGCAATGCTGGATGTCAGAAGAGGGCTTTGCAAGAGCAGTCAGTGTTCTTAACTGCTGAGCCATCTCTCCAGCCCGTTTTTTTTTTTAATGTTATTATTTTTATGTGTATGTGTGTACTGCTTGCATTCATGTAAGTGCACCCATGTCATGTGTCCTAGTTTGTTCTTCATTGCTGTGACAAAACACTCTGACCAGTACCAACTTGGGGAGGAAAGGGTTTATTTGTCTTATATCTCCCAGGTCGCACGCAGTTCATCCGGGAGCCCAAGGTAGGAACTCAGGGCAGGAACCTGGAGGCAGGAGCTGGAGCACAGGCCATGGAGGAACGCTGCTTACAGGCTTGCTCCCCTGGCCCCTGCTCAGCCTGCTTTCTTATGCAACACAGGCCCACCTGCCCGGGGTGGCACCACCCACAGTGAGCTGGGTCCTCCCACATCACTCATCAAGAAGATGCCCTTCAGACATGGCCACAGGCCAGTCCAATAGAGGCAATTCCCTGATTGAGGCTCCCTCAACCCAGGTGTGTCAAGTTGACACTAAAGCTATCCAGCACATCATGCAAAGCCCGAGGAGGACAGAAGAGGGTGTTGGATCTCCTAGAACTGGAGTTATGGACAGTTGTTAGCTGCCATGTGGGTGCTGAGGTTTGAACCCAGGTTTTCTGCAAGAACAGTCAGTGTTCTTAACCACTGAGCTGTCTCTCCAGCCCATTTGTTGTTTTTTTGTTTTTTCTTTTTTGGTCTTTTTGAGACAGGGTCTCTCTGTAGCCCCAGCTGTCCTGGAACTCACTATGTAGACCAGGCTGGCCTGCCTCTGCCTCCCAAGTGCTGGGATTAAAGGCATGCGCCACCACACCCGGCTGTTTGGTATTTTTAAAACACAGTCAGCTATAGCCCAGGCTAGCCTCCAATTCCCTATGTAGCCAATGATGACCTTGAACTTCTGATCCTCCTGCCTTCACCTCCTAGTGCTGGGATGACAGCCATATGTCACCACATCTAGCCATTCAACTAGACTTTTTTTGTTTGTTTGTTTTGTGTGTGTGTGTGTGTGTGTGTGTGTGTGTGTGTGTGTGTATCTTTTTGAGACAAGGTCTCCCTGTAGCCTCAGCTGGCCTGGAACTCACTATATAGACCAGGCTGGCCTTGAACTCACAGAGCTCCTCCTGCCTCTGCCCCCCCCAAGTGCTAGGATTAAAGGTGTGCGCCACCATGCCTGGCCTAGATGGTTTTTATCCATATTTTCCCCAGAGCGGACAGACAAGGTGGCCTGATGCCCCTCACCAGGCTAGAACTCCCTCCCAACCCTTCCCCCACTCGCTGTCTGTCAATCACAGAATCCAGACTCACAGCCCTGGCCCCTGTCAGGCAGGAGGTGTGATATTAAGGGCTTGGGGCCCAGCCAGTCCCTCTTCCCGACATGCCAGGCCCAGTGGTTTCAGGAGCTGGTCCAGCAAGGCTGATGGAGCCCTAGGGGCCCTTTCTGATTGATGCCTGCTGGGCCAGGAGACATGAGGCGCCCAGGCTGCCGGCCACCGCCCAGAGGGGAAGGTATGTCGGGCACTGGCTACCCTGCCACAGGCGGTGGCCAGGCCTGGGAAATCCATCAGGATTACTTGGGGAAGGGGGGAAGGTCATTTGGCTATTTCTGCACCCAGAGCCCAGACCCACCCTGCCTGAATTCATTTCCCCAGAAGGGATCAGGGAGCCATGTCTGAACCCTGTGATTGGTGGGGTGACCTCTAGCAGGCTCCACCCTGACCCTGCCCTCCTGGACCCTGACCTTGTCACCCCCAGGTTCTCCTTTAATTAAAAAAGATAGCACTAAATAAAATGGCTGCAATTTTATTGAGGAATTGCAGGAGTTGTCTCCTTTTTCCACTATGTAGGTCCTGAAGATTGAACTCAGGTCATCAGGCTTGGTGGTGAGCACCTTTATCCATTGGGCCATGTTGTCAACGCTCAAATTTCTTAGTGAACCAGGAGCTTGTTGACTGCATAGGCTGGCCAGCCTTAATCCCTGGGACTCCTGTCTCTGCCTCCCCAGCAGCAGAATTACTAGAGGGTTGAACTCACACTCTCATGATTGCGTGGCAAGCACTTTACCCACTGAATTGTCTTTGTACTCTCTACAAGGATTTTTTCCCCCTTTCTGTAGTTCCCTAGCCCCAGAAGTAAAAAAATTCATTGTCAGGTTCAGTAGATAAGAGAGCATCTTGTCAGGCATGATGGCACAGGCCTTTAATCCCAACACTCAGGAGGCAGATGCAGGCAGATCTCTGTGAGTTCAAGGCTAGCCTGGTCTACATAATGAGTTCCAGGACAGCTGGGCTACAGGAAAACCCTGTCTCAAAAAGACAAAAAAAAAAAGAGAATGTATTGCTCTTACAGAGGACACAAGTTTGGTTCCCAGCACCCACATCAGGCAGCTCATAACCACCTGTAACTCCAGCTCCAAGTGATCTGATGCCCTCTTCTGGCCTCAATGGGTATTGCACACACATATGTACATACACATACAAAGACACACACACACATACACATACCAATAAAGATCTTTTTTGCTTGTTTGTTTGACATAGGCCTTCCTGTAGCCCCAGCTGGCCTGGAACTCACCAAGTAGACCAGGCTGGACTTTATCCACCTCTTGAGTGCTGGGATTAATGGTGTGTGCTGCCATGCCTTGCCCATAAAAATCTTTAAAAAAATTTTTTCATCACTGAGAAGCAGCAGAATTCAGTAATACAGATCTGCATTGCTAACATCTGTGGCTTCAGTTTTGACATCTTTGCTGTGCTGTGTGCTCTGAGGCAAGCTGCTGAACCTCCCTGTGCATTCATTTCTTTTCCTCTCCCTGTTTCTTACTCCAAAGTTTAGTCTACATTTTTATCTCTCATAGGGAGCCGGTTAAAGAATTTCACTAGGAAGGTAACTTTTGGTCAGGGCAGTGTCCTGCAAATCGTGCTGCACAGTGGTACCCCTCCTGGTTTTCAGGGAGAGGTGTGGCAAGGTGGGCATGCTGCTGCCTCTCCCACTTCCTCCCAGCAAAGGAGCCACTGGTCAGGACAGTAGAACAAGCACTAGTCTGTCTCTGAAGGGAGTCTGGGAAGACTTGGAAATCTCACGCTGGCTCGAGTCTCCCTGGCAGGGA